TGTGTGTGTGTTGGGGGAATGTGCAGTTGTTCCTGTCCCTGCCCTTTGCTCCTTCCTCCCCAAAGCTACGTTGTTGTTGTTTCAGACTCCCCTGAGTCCCCCAAAGGGGGAAAAGAAGAGGAAAGAGAAAAAGCCAAGAAGAAAGAAAAAGAACTTGACTGTTCCAATTGGAAGTCAGAGGCAGGCCTTTCTCCACCAAGGACAAAACAAGGAGAAGAGCCCAAAGACAGGTATTTTTTTTCTGGGATAGAGAGAAGGGGGCTGACACTTGTCGCGTCCTCTGCCAGCAGTTCTGTTTATATATAACTTCACTTAATCCTCACCACCCGAGGGATGGCTGTTATTATTATCTCCTCCAGGCCCCCCTCACACGACCCAGATAGGCTGTCCCTGGCACTGGCCTCATCTAGAAGGATGCAGGGGCAGGGAACGCAGTGTTGTTGACACACTCAGGCCTTTTCTCATCAGCAAGAGTTCTCATAGGGGACAACACCGCATCCAGCTACCCACCCAGGTAACACCCAAGTGCACGGAAATGAGACCACAGTGGGTGGGAACTCCCTGACTTCAATGTCCTATGCCCTAAATCGATATCAGTCCTATAGACAAAAACACAGAATTCCAGCAAGGGCACTGACCAGTTACAAGATTCACCCACTTGGGACCAGCAAAAAGCTGTGGTTTTCCACTAATTACTTATAGTTCATTCCTAGCCCTTCCTGTGTAGACATCACTTACCAATCAGGGCTCATTTGTACCGGAAGCAATGTCGCCTAGTAATGCAGCTGATGTTCCAGCTTTGTCAGGGTTGCAGGTAAATGGACTAGGAACTTACTTGCTCATAGAAAAGAAGCATTTTGTTGGCTCTCTATTCAAAATTCCCATTTAGTGGTGAGGAGGCTGAAGGCTGGGAAACAGGACTTTCCGAAGATCACACAGCCATTATGTGACAAAGTGGGATTCCAATCCTCATCTGTCAGAACCCCAGAGGAGTAGAACAGTCCCCAAAATTGCATGATTTTCAGATAGGGCCCAAAAGCCTTATCCAACACAGTAGGTAAAAGCCTTCGTGAATGTATAAATAAGACCTACCTTTTTCATATGTGACAACACAGATTAATTCCTTTGCGGGGCGGTCCTCTGTTGTTCATAATAGATAAGGGGTGGTACTAGCTAATCCTGAGTAGTATCTGATGGCACTAGATCAGTGGTCGGCAAACCGTGGCTCACGAGCCACATGTGGCTCTTTGGCCCCTTGAGTGTGGCTCTTCCACAAAATACCACGTGCGGGTGCGCATGTACAGTGCGATTGAAACTTCGTGGCCCATGTGCAGAAGTCGGTTTTTGTCCTGGGCGAGTCTATTTTGAAGAAGTGGCGTTAGAAGAAGTGGGGGTTGTTGGTCGGTCTGGCTACGGGAGATGCGACGCAGGCGGGCCGCGGGATACACAGCGAAGGGGGAGACGCCAAATATCAACAGTACTTAAACTATATAGGTAGGTTAATAACAATGTACCTACCTATATAGTTTAAGTTTAAAAAACTTGGCTCTCAAAAGAAATTTTAATCGTTGTACTGTTGATATTTGGCTCTGTTGACTAATGAGTTTGCCGACCACTGCACTAGATCATCCTACATAATCCGGACAATACTATCCATGATTTCTCAACATCTTTAATGTACATACCTGTCCTCCCGATATATCCACTATAAGGGAATCATATTAAGAAATTAATCAGATTAAACATAAAGATGATGTGTTCTGTGCATGACATTTTTAAAAAATATTTTTTAATTATATTTTTATTGATTTCAGAGAGGAAGAGGGAGGGAGAGAGACATAGAAACAGCAATGATGAGAGAGAATCATTGATTGGCTGCCCCCTGCACGCCCCACACTGGGGATTGAGCTCACAATCTGGGCATGTGCCCTGACTGGGAATCGACTTGTGACAACCACTGAGCCACGCCGTTCAGTCTATGTATAACATTTTTTAGCTGGCATTTCTGAAACATCTTTCCTCTGAACCCTTTTGAAAATTTATTTATTTATTTATTTATTTATTTATTTATTTTTTGAATGAAGGCAAAGACTTTTCAGACATTAATTTTTTTAATCCTCACCTGAGGACATGCTTTCATTGATTTGAGAGAGAGAGAGAGAGAGAGAGAGAGAGAGAGAGAGAGAGAGAAATTGGTTGCTTCCTGCACACGTCCCAACCGGGGATCAAACCCACAACCTAGGTATGTGCCCTGGGGACACCTGCTCTTACCAACTAACCACACTAGACAGGGCCCTCTGAACCCTTTTAAATGGATGTTTATAATAATACTATACTATAAGCCTTGTATGCGAACCACTTTAGGAAAATGATGCTGTAAGAGGAATGATTCGTGACCAGGAGGGAGATATGCCTCCGCCACATTACTCCCATTTTTGGTTGTAAAAGTAACTGTGGGGCTGAGGGAACAGTATAGCTACTGTTCCTGCAATGCACAAGGTCGCCCCACACACTGCAGAACCATTTATCGTGTTCAGAGTGCCCGCAGGGCTCCCATGGCAAAGCACTGCAGGGTAGAATATTGACTGACGTGGGGAAATGTCCACTGAGTACTAAGAGAAGCTGTGCACTGTATAGTATATATAGCATGATCCCATTTTTATAAAAATTAAGTAAGTGGCCCTAACCGGTTTGGCTCAGTGGATAGAGCGTCAGTCTGCGGACTCAAGGGTCCCAGGTTCCAGTCCGGTCAAAGGGCATGTACCTTGGTTGCGGGCACATCCCCAGTAGGGAGTGTGCAGGAGGCAGCTGATGGATGTGTCTCTCTCATTGATGTTTCTAACTCTCTATCCCTCTCCCTTCCTCTCTGTAAAAAAATCAATAAAATATATTTAATAAAAAAAATTAAGTAAGTGAACTTTATGTACATGCACAGGAGAAGAGATGAGAAGGGTATGTGCCAGGGTGGCAACGGTGATTATTTCTAATAGATAAGGATGGAGAGGGTTTTGTTTTCTTATTTTTGCAAATGTCTGTCTAATTTTTTCCAATAAATAATGTATTAATGTTGAAATAAGAAAAAATAATGAAACTTTTAAAAATATATATACATGATTATAATTAAGAGCTTCATATTCTATATTATACAAGAAAAATTGTCAATTTGTATTGTTGGCTTTTTTTTCCCACAATGACCTTGTATATATACATATACACCCGAGGATAGATATTTTTTCCACTGATTTTCAGACTGAGTGGAAGGGAAGGAGAAGGGGAGAAGAGACAGAGAGAGAGAGAGAGAGAGAGAGAGAGAGAGAGAGAGAGAGAGAAACATTGATGTGAGAACAAAACATCAGTTGGCTGCCTCCTGCACGCCCCTCACTGGTGGTGAAGTCTGCAAACCAAGCATGTGCCCTGACTAGGAATCAAACTGGCAACCTTTTGGTACACAGGATGATGTCTAATCAACTGAGCCACCTGGGCCAGCCAGGGCTACATTTATTTTATACAGGTAATCACTTGCTCATTGTAGAAAGTTTAAAATATATAAATAGGAAAATTAAAAATCATTCATTTTTTAGAGACAAGTACACATATCCTGTATCATAAAAGCCTAATATGCTAAGTGCCTGGTAGTCTGGTTGGCCATTCAACAATCAAAGTGTAATATGCTAATGATATGTATGCTAAGGCTGCTCAACTGCTCACTGTGATGTGCACTGACCACCAGGGGGCAGACAGTATACCAGTCGACCAGTCACTATGATGTTCACTGACCACCAGGGGGCAGACGCTCTGACCAGTAGGTTAGCTCGGGGTCCGGCTGATCAGAACTGAGCAAGACGGGCGGGACACGCCCTGGAGCCCTCCCGCAGTCCCTCCCAGGCTGGCCAACCTCCCATGTCCCTCCCCAGCCCCGATTGTGCACTAGTGAGGTCCCTTGGCCTGGCCTGTGCCCTCTTGCAATCCTGGCTGAGGGACTCCCCCCACCCGAGTGCACTAATTTTGTGCACTGGGCCTCTAGTATGTATATATAATCATGTATGTAAACACATATATATATAAATCACATGTATATCCTTCTAGACTTTTACCTATGTATCATCACCATCCTTAAATTAATAAAATGGAATTATACTCTATATACTATTTTGTAACCTTTCCACATTTATTTAAATAGTAAATCATGTTTAGTGTAAAAACTTTAGAAAAGCAAACACAAGAGCAGAATAATAGAAATAACCGCTGTATATCTCATCTTTTAAGAACATAGGCATGTACATTTGTATTCTCTTAATAAAATTGGAAGCACACTCTACATACTGTTTTGTAACCAGCATCTTACATTTAACGTCTTGCACATTTCGTGGGAGGCGGAATTGTTAACGCTCGCTTTTCACAGGCGTGGCGCTGTCATAGGAAGCTGTGGCTGAGCAGGGATTGGGGTGGTTGTCTCCCTACCTTGCTGGGTGAATCAAGCTTCCTTTCTTTTTAGTCTCCTTAATGATAATTCATTATTTATTATATAAACACTATAACCACATCAGTGAAATTTAAAATAAGAATTAAAAATATTTGTCCAAAAACAGACCAACAAACCTCAGAGGGAAGGCAGGGGAAGGTGGGAGGGGGAAGTAAAAAATATATATATATATATTTGTCCACAGTGTGCCACCTCTGACAAATAAAGCCGTTTTTATTTTTTTCTCTTTTCTCCCAATCCTGAAGTACTCACATATGTCATTTTTCCATTCCTGTAGGTGGAGTGTACAAACTACTATGCTCTTATTAATTTATCTTCCTATTGTATTCTAGGCATTTTCTTCATGTTCCCGAATAGTTTTCCTAATGATCATTTACAATAACTGCAGAATATTTCTGACATGTTAAAAAAAAAAAAAAAAGCAATGAGGACAGGCCAAACAAATGGTGAGGCTCCAGGATAGAGGCTCATGTCTTCTCTCCTTTCTCCACCTGCAAGATTTCTGGCTCCTGCTCTGGTCTACACTTGTCCATCCTGATAGGGTTCTCAGGGAGGACCTCCTCCCCTCCCCCCAGGAGCTCCAGAGCCAGGTGTGGGAGTGGAGGGGCATGTGAAGGAGGTATTACTTCTCTCCCTTGCTGCTTTGCTTCCCCCTCCCCCACCCCCTCCAGTGTTCAAGCTGGAGTGAAGGTCCAGAGCAATGGGTCTGGTCCACAGGATAATCAAGGCTTGCCCCTAAAGCTGCCTCGCCTACTGTATCACAGACCACCTGCAGGATGAGATGGGAGCTGGAAATCCATGCAGGAATCCTATATAATAAAAGGGTAATATGCAAATTGACCCTAACGGCGGACAAACCGGTCGCTATGATGAGCACTGACTACCAGGGGGCAGACGCTTAACGCAGGAGCTGCCCCCTGGTGGTCAGTGCACTCCCACAGGGGGAGCTCCACTCAGCCACAAGCGAGCTGAAGGCTGCTAACGCAGCGGCGGTGGCAGCAGCCTCTCCTGCCTCCTTGGCAGCACTAAGGATGTCCGACTGAGGCTTAGGCCCGCTCCCTGGGGAGTGGGACTAAGCTTCAGTTGGACATCCCCCGAGGGCTCCCAGCCTGCCAGAGAGATGTCTGACTGCCAGCTTATGCCCGTGGACATCCCCTAAGGCAGCAGTTCTCAACCTGTGGGTCGTGACCCCTTTGGTGGTCGAACAACCCTTTCACAGGGGTCGCCTAAGGCCATCCTGCATATCAGATATTTACATTACGATTCATAACAGTAGCAACATTACAGTTATGAAGTAGCAACGAAAATAATTTTATGGTTGGGTCACAACATGAGGAACTGTATTTAAAGGGCCAGAAGGTTGAGAACTACTGACCTAAGGGCTCCCAGGCTGCCAGAGAGATGTCTGACTGCCAGCTTAGGCCTGATCCCCCCGGGGAGCAAGTGGACATCCCCTGAGGGGTCCCGGACTGTGAGAGGGCGCAGGCCGGGCTGAGGGACCCCCCCGAGTGTACAAATTTTTGTGCACCGGGCCTCTAGTATTGTATAATTTGGAAAACGAGAAATCAGATGTCTGCGATTATGGAGCATAAGGACTTATTTGTGCTGAGAACTGCTGTAGGGACATGAATGATCTAATGTCTTCCTCCCAGACAGCCCCAAGACATAGGTTCTTTTCTTCTCATTTGACAGGTGAGGGAACATGATGCTCGGAGAAAACAACCTGCCCTGGGGGTTAGAGCTGGGAATGCAACTCATGTCATCAACCCCCTTTTTATTTTTTTATTTAAATATATTTTTATTGATTTCAGAGAGGAAGGGAGAGAGAGATAAGAAACATCTATAATATATATAAAAGCCTAAGCGACCAAACGACTGGTTGACCGGTTGCTATAATGCGCACTGACCACCAGGGGACAGATGCTCAACGCACAGGATCAGGTTCCCTCCTGTCTGGATTGGGCCTGTGGGGATCAGGCCAAAACCTGCTATCGGACATCCCCCGAGGGGTCCCGGATTGGGAGAGGGCGCAGGCCAGGCTGAGGGACCCCACTGGTGCACAAATCCGTGCACCAGCCCTCTAATCAATGATAAGAATCATTGACCGGCTGCTTCCTGCATGCCCCTACTGGGGATCAAGCTCGCAACCCGGGCATGTGTCCTAACCAGGAATTGAACCGTGGCCTCCTGGTTCATAGGTCGATGCTCAACCCCTGAGCCATGCTGGCCAGGCTCGACTCCCTTTTATTTATTTATTTATTTATTTATTTTAAAAATATATTTTATTGATTTTTTACAGAGAGGAAGGGAGAGGGATAGAGAGTTAGAAACATCGATGAGAGAGAAGC